AACTATCTTAAACATAATAGGGTGGATACATTTCATATATCTCATAACTCAGTTGGTAGGTCAGAATATTAACCAGATTTCAGGCTAGTCAAGCCTCCTATATTTCGTTTATTCCTCCTACCCTCCCTCCCTAATTCTATCGAATAGCCATAGTAGTTTGTTGCTTAATTTCCTACACTCGTTCCACTTATTCCTATTGATTTACCACCAATAAATTGTACTGTTTTATACATCAGGAAACCCTTATCATTCTTAATAGTCTTAAGCGGGACCCCCTGCGCATTTTGGGCAGACAATATACTTTCAGAGGTCTAGTGCCTCCGATTTTAGTACATTTGTTGGAAGCACTTGAGTTTATTATTCACTGTTATTGTAGGTTCAATAGCTATAATTCCAAGCCTGCTAGAACCTGCATCATTTTTGTGCATACTTGCTCTAGTCAACCGGAATTGCTCCTCCCTTATATATGAAGTGTATTTACTCGATTTCTCCCTCGTCTACCCTCAAAATAGTTTGCTCATTTTTTCACAGCCTCCTCCATTATTCTTATTTGGTATCTATTTATAACTACCAATTATGACAATAACCTGCAACTCAATATCGCTTCTAGTTTCCTCTGATTTCGAATCGGTAGCACTTATTCTTCCTAAAGTCCATTGATATTTTGATCAGACTTACCTTATTCTGAGCCACACCATCTTGGTCTTCATAACATCGATTAATATTTTCTGGCTTACTTTATTTTGCGCTACTCCTTTAGATACTCTCTACTCATCTTTCAATGATCTAGTTTTAACACAAAAATTTTTGAGTTTTTTATCGTGATTTCACTTTATCAGATGAAATAATATATCATATAAGCTATCTTTCATTGATCGTGACCTTGGTTATTCCCATGTATTTAGGGTGTCGCTCAATAATTGTCTTATTCTGATATTACTTGTTTTGAACCAATTTAATTTTGCACTATTTTCTTGAATCTTGTGTTTGATCGAAATCCTAAAGCACTTTGACAAAATCCCTCTTAATTCATTATGGCAAATTCATATTTTTAACAATTAAAGAATAATGCCACTGTATAAACGTACTTTTAAAAATCGAATATCGTTCACTTTCCTGTCAATTAATTTCTCGGTCTTAGCGTAAAGTGATTAGCTCTTAGATTGAAAGAAAAGCTGGGTGTCGAAGAATTTTCTAGACTTATGTTTGTATAGCTTTTATTTCGTTTAAAAAGTACGGGTGGAAAGGATTTATAAATAAATCGCATCGGAAACCAAAGTAAAATCTCATCTAAATTACTACTGCTGGATTTTGCGAGGAAGCATATTGTTGCCAATCAAACCATAGGATGCCTTATTCTTATCACAAAAGTAGTTACAAGAAGTTATTGGGATTCCAGTCGGCCACCTTTCTTACTTTTATGCTTTGTTTTATTTTTTTGTGAATGATGGTTTCTGACAGGAGTTTAATAAAGGTAATTAAATGGTATGAACCCAGTTGGTGATATGGTATGTATTATAAGAAGATTTTACTTAGAGGAGGATATCATTTCTTCACTCATGGATTAGATCCTTATTAGAGTAGGTGCTTTCTTTTAGCACTCTTTTTCTTTAATTTTTATCGCTTCTTTTGTTTGGCCTGTCGGACATTAAAAAATTTTCACCTGCTTCTGTTGCATATCAAATTTCATTGTAGCCTATGGTATGCTTTTTTAGCACCCCATTTAGGCACTTACTATCCTATGCCAAAAGCTCGTATCTAAATTCTAGTTCCATACATGTAATTGGCCGTGACAAGCCTTCTTCTTCTGGACATGAAATTGCTTAAACAAATCGTTATGCTTCTCTTTAGATCGTAAATAGTCTTATGATCGTTCAGTTTATTTCATTACTTAAAGTAGTGGGATTTAACTTAAAAATTGCTATACTAATTTATTTCTGTTATCTTATTAGTGCTGATTTTTCATCAAATATTTTCTCAAATTTTATCTTGATTTTTAGTTTCTTTAAATGATAATGGTAATCATTTTCTTTCTAAAACCCATATATTTCCAGATCAAAGTAAATGCTTGCGACTTTACCACCTTAAGTGTCACTAGTACCGCATTCTTTTGAACTACTGTCACATCACTGTTGAACCCAAGTATTACAAATTGCCTTTATTTTGTTGCTTCCTGTTTGTATATGGGCTTAATAGGGAATATAATTATGCGCTAGCTAATCTCTCTGATCAGATTGTAAATACTTTCTTCTAAATAGTTTGTCTTTCTCCTTTAGAGGAAAAAATAATGAATTGCTTTTACGTGATTGAATTTTCACGTTTGAATAAGAATTTTTTGTATTACTATACTTATTAGAAAAACTTCTCTTTTCTCCGGCAGTATTTTTTGCTATCGTTATTTGTTCAAGCCTAAGGGCAAGTTGGATTTGATCCTATTTGACTTATTGAGACGTAACATAAAACTAGCCTTATTTACTTTTCCAAACTTCTAGTGTTAACCTCTTAAGCAACCCTTTCTTTCTTTCTTTCTTTCTTACATTTAATTTTAGCTTTTCACTGTTCGCTCCTTGGATTTGATCACTGACTACCTTCTTTATGAGCTTTTCGAATTAGTTGATCTTGACTGGGTTCATTCTAATCTCAATATACATTCTTCGTCTTCCTCGGATCCTTTAACATCTACATCTTTAAAGGATGAACAAACGAAAAAATTCTCTGTTACCAACGAAGCAGGATTGATAGTTTCTACGCCACTTGTTACCGGGATGCCTGCGCAACGCATTGCAGCTTCAAAGCTGGCATCTTTAGAGTCGCCCAATATTTTGATAAATTCTGATAATAATGAACAATCTGGTACAAATATAGATTCTATTCCAATTAGAAAGCTGGATTCTTGCCAGACCTTTTGCCCAATATTGCATCTATTTCCCAGATTTGTCCGCACTATAGAGTCAGTTGATCCTAACGTTTCAGGGATTTCTGGAGTTAACTTCGTAGCCCATTCTGAGACGTTACCGTCTCTCACAGCATGTGAATCGAGTAGATTAGATGGAGAAAGCAAAGTCAGTCCGGTTCGTGGCGAAGTACTACCAGCCAGTGCTGTACTACAATATCTCCTGGATGAGGCCTTGAAGCCATTGTTCAGGCCCGAAGAACTGATGGAAATCTCTAATATGACTGTACCACAGTTCTCAGCCCACATCAATAACCTGCGGGGGACTTTGGCAACACTTCCTGGCAAAGTGAGTAGCAACTATTTACTTTCAATTTACACAGAAATATAACAGTTTTTTGGCTATACAATCTATCTTTTAAGTGTGAATGGATGCAATCGAAGAGGTAGATATATAGGTAAATATGTTTTTAAATTTGTATGTTCTGCTACTAATTTCTTGATAATACTTTTCTTAATTTTGCTTGGAGATTTATCTCTTGTGATGATGCCTCGCAGAAAGGGCCATATGATTTGTTTGTGAAATTGTCAAACTTGGCATTCTTAAAAGTTATCACTAACTATTATCTTGTAATTTTCGCTTTATTTCGGGTGCTGGAACTACAACATTAGATTTTAAGCGAAGTTTCGAAGATTACAATGGTGTGGCTTTTAATATGGTCGCTGTATCGAAGAAGTTTGACCTCGTTTTCGTAACTTGTTCGTATTGCCAGGGAGACCTAGAGGAGCGCACCTTGTCTGAAGTCCATAGTATGTATTACAATTTTCAGAGTCGGGCTGTGGACTTGGTACGTTTCCAGAAATTTTAACGGAATAGAAGTGGGTTGACCTCGTTGTCGCAACTTGGTCTTGTGTTCAGGGAGACTATGTAGAACGCACCG